CTGATGCACTGAGGTTTGTTTAACGACGTTGTATAGAAGTCAGTATCCCTGAATATCCTATGTTCCTTAGCTTTTTGCCTTTTCTTATTGACTCTACAGACAATACTTCATAGTGCCTGAGTAATCGATGTTTCGTAATAAATTCTGCAATTAAAATCAGGGTTTTTTTTGGACTCAAAGTAAACATTCATTTCAGTTGTAAAAATTAAAACACTGGCCTTAAGTTATTAAAATAGTCTGTGTTTCTATTTCTTTGATAAATTCCTGTCAAATACCTGATCATACTTTCTAAGATTTCCACTTTTCCCATAGCCCTTGAAAATGAAATGCAGATTGTTTGAAATTTAGCATATAATCACCAATGGCAATAATATGCTTAAAAACTTAAACCCAAGGTAGTCTATAATTTTTGTCCACTATAATCCTTCTTACTAAGAATAGAACTGTATTAAAGGTAGACATGACTAATCCTTTCTAAGTAAATTCTGCCCCCTTGTGGATTGAAACATCCACAGATAGGGAAAAAAGGCTGACAACTGCATAGGTCCGTTCCTTTCAGTTCTTTCACAGAGCACTTCAGCCATCCTTATAGGTAATGCTGACACAATGGAAAAAAAGCTAGACGTGTATAAACTGTGTAAGAGCTACTTGATGTTTGACAAAATATGTTGGCAGATAATGGTATACATTTATATCTTATACTTTACATCTCATTCAACTAGGAGTACCTTGAATATTGCCAATAAATATTTCATACAATATTATAGTTAAAATGGACTTTAAATACTGAGCTCAGCATCCACATAGAAGGATCCCTTTCACAGCCATCTCCACTTGAATGACTCCAGTAATGGAAAAGTCACTAAATGATACAGCTCATTCTCTTATCAGAGAGGACTGCTACAAGTCTATTGACATTTTAAGCCTAACTGGATTTCAGAACTGGAAAAAGGTAGGAAACCTTCCAATCCGTCCTTTTATGGCTGATGCTGTTGTGCCACTGGGGCCCACCTCTTCTCTCTGGAGCAACACCCAGTGAACCTGTTACTGGTTTCATAGTGTCTTAAATGTTGGAAGGTAGCTACCATGCTGCCCCTTGGTCTACCATCTTCCTAACTTTTCACCCATAATTGTGTCAACTATTCCTCATGTGACATGCTTTTCAGACCCCATCGTCTCCTAGTCACAACTCCTTGGACACCAGTGTTTTTATCAAGTCCCCTCTCACCGTGCAGCATCGGGAACTGAGCCCAGCTGCTCTGGGTGTGCTTGCTTGGTGGTATCGAGTCTGTGGAGCTGTCAGCCCCCCGTGTGCAGGACTGCGAACCTCTATGAGTGCAACCCAGGCCCTGTCAGCTCTCTCAGCAGCCACATCACGCTACTGCTCAATATAAGCTATGTAGACTCCCAGGTCCTCTGTCTGGGTCATTCCCACACTCTACTTGTGTCTACCTGTAACTTTTTAATATTTGTCTCTATTAAATTTCATCTTGCTTTTGGCTCAGGATACCAGCTGGCAGGTAATTACATATCCTAAGCATGTCTAAGTGGATCAGTTCTGCTACCTAGCTCTGTGCCATCCACATTCAATAAGCATGATGTCTGTGTTTCCAACCAGCCTGTTTCAAGGCCAAGGCAATGACCTTTGGTGTGGAGGAGAGAATGAAATAAAAATTGGCGGTGGGCTCGTGTCTCCACAGTGCCCATCTGCTGCTCATGGTCCTCAGTTTTCTCTAAACAGAGGCGATAACATGAGGTCAACGTGCAGTCACGGGGCTCACGTGAGACCATGCGTTTGAATGAGCTAAGCTAAATAAATGTAAAGTACTAGTCATTAGCTTTCAAATGGTTTGAGGGTGGAGAAGAGATGGGACCATCTTTGTATTCCCAGCACTGTACCTGACAGCTGAAGAACTCAGTACAGTTTTTTCATGTGGGTGAATACACACAAAGTACATACCGGACAGTTTTTCACAGGGGGAAGGGAAGTGAGTTGATCATTTGTAATCAGTCTATTTAGTCTGAAAACTTCTTCAACTCTCTCCTGTCAGTACCAGCTCCCCCTTTCCTCTCTCTGCTCCTACCTCCAGCCGGTGCCCACTCCCTCCTGTGCTCAGTCTGAGGCTTGCATGACTGCATTCTGCACATGCACAGAGGCAGTCCTCACCATGCCACCTTACAGCGTCCCTTGCCACCGTTAAATACTGCGAGAGCCCCAGATGCCCAGTGGAGACTATTCCCTTACTTGCAGTTCTGCCGCTAACTAGTTGTATTACTTGACACTTCAATTCTCTGGGCTGCAGTTTTTTCATAAGTTAAATTTTAAAGGCCTTTAATGTCTTTCTTAAGGAAGGTAAGTTCTTCAATGCGCAGATAACCCAGGGCTAGCCATTGGGTGTTTGAATTAACCCCTTCCCACTTAACCACAAGATGCAGACATGCCCAGCAGTCCCCTGTGCATTACCAGGCTTGAGAGTGTTACACAGAGCCCAGGCCCTGTCTGCTTGGGCTGCAGAACAGGTGTGGGTCAAAAAGCAGGGGAACCTGAGAAATTTGCAGGGATCCCATGGCCTCTTGGTCTGGGATGCTGAGGTTTAAAGAAGACGAGAGGTACATGCTCTCTAATCTTGAGGTTCCCTGCCTTGGTAAAGTCATTTGTATTCATGAGTGCCTCCCTCCTTGTACTGCTGTATTTAATTCAGGATATGGTATAAATAGAACATGGTACTCTGGCAAAGCACACCACCTACCAGCATGTTCCTTTGGGGACATTAACCAAATCTGAGCCTCTGATTCCCTCTAGTGGCTCAAATCAGCAACTTTCACAGCTGATTCTTTGCATTTACTTATTCAGTGTATAGTAAGTGCCTACTGTGTGCACCAAATGGCGTTGGGTTCCCTAACGTTTCCAGAAATGTTGGACACTGGTTTCCTTGATCATTGTGGTATCCACTGGAAAGGGATGGGAGTAGAAGCCAGAGCTCCTTCTTACCAGCCTAGCTTAGTACAGACGGGTGAGATCCCTGGTGCTCCACAGCTGCTTTCTAGGGACTGAGGGACGATGGGTTTTATATGGGTCATTTCTGCCACTGAATGAGTTGTAGGGCCTTGGACTGACTCCTTCAATCCTGGGCTTCAGGCTGCTCATTGGTAAAATGAGAACATCATTTAAATTCAAACCATGCAACAAATATTTATTGAGCACCTGCAGTGTGGGAGAGCCCCTGGGCTGAGCGCTATGGAACACAGTGGTGAATCTGTTGAATGGCACCTAATCTCAAGGAGCTTACAGGCCAATGGGAGGACCAGACATCCAGGAAACCACAAAAATGGGGCAATAGCATGGGTGTCAGGGCATGAGCTCTGCAGTGAGGCAGACCTGGGGTGGAGCCCTCATCTGTCACTTCCTAGCTTGTGTGATCTTGGGCAACTTGCTAACCTCTTCGTATTTCATTAATAAACTTAGATAATAATCCTTTCTCCAGAGGATTGAGTGCTCAGTGTAAAGCCAAATGGGGCCACTCCTACCGCAACCTCAAGTTCTAAAGAGGAGTAACAGAAACCTTATTGAGGAAGTAAGGCCCTACAAGGGGTTCTGAAGCCCCTTCGCATGCCCAGGAGATTTCTCAGGTTTCTTTCTTTGCCATAGAGCTTGGCAGTCCACCTGCTGCTTCTCTTGGGAGGGTGTCTCTGAGGGCTGCACCCCTGCAGCTCCAGCCCGTCGGCTCCCTGCAGAGAGAACCTGTCTCCCCTGCTCCCTGCTTGCCGGTTTCATTTCTCTGCAGGCAGGGATACAGGCCCTTGTCCCTCCCACAGTTTTGCTGCTGATCAATTTCGGGAAATGAACAGGGAATAAGAGAGGTAGCTTCTATGCTTCTGTTAGTCATGATCCTTAATCGTTAGTGCTTCAAATCCCTCTGGAGTGGCAGAGTGAGTTCTCTCCAGGACAGAGGAAGGGCGTCACATAAGCCCTGGCTCTTGGGGCTGTTCCAGTCTGGAGGCTGTATGACGCTGTGACACTGTGAAGGTCTCGAAAGAGACCGTTTGCGTCCTGCGCTTCCCAATTACTGTGTGAGGAGATAAAGGAGGATCCAGAGCTAAAGCAGCCCTTTTATGCCACACTCATCATACCCCTGGCATCCAGGTTTCATCATACCAGTTCATCAGTCAGCAACACTGTAGATTTCAGAGTCAGCAATGTCAGATCCTTCGCCAGGTGCTAAGAGAGATTAATAGGAAGGTGAAGAGGTGAGCTTGGCATCCTGAGTTGCTGACAGGATACCATTCCTGGAAAAAGATGAACGTTAGAGATAAAGGAAGCCAAAAATGGAACTGAACTCCTGTGACCAAATGGATATTGGATGCAGGGAGGGACAGGATCCCAACGTGGTAACTTGGAATTTTGCTTTGGATAAAAAGGGTTGCTTCATATTTGGAAGCCATATGAGATGAAGCTGTAGGGAATGGAAACTGGGGGATAAGAGAATGAGTGCCCCTAAGGGAAAGAGGAACTGCCCAAAGGGGGCCACTTGATCGCTGAGGCATTCCTGTAGTACTCACAGGTCTGTGGGGTCCCGGGCCTCGGTGGAGGCTCTCAGGAGTGAACCGGCCTGGAGTCTGCTCTGGGCAGGATGCCAACCCCTGCCTTCCCTTTGGTTTCTGTCCTGTTGGAAGCCTCCACTAGTAATGGAGAGAGAACACTTTAAAAACACAGTTGCTGTTGACCTGAATGATGGCATCATTCATGAAAACCCAGTAAGGTCAGAAAGCCAGGAAGCTGTAGGAGTGTAATTCAGGTGGGTAAGGGAGAAATGATGAATTCAGTTAATGGAGGAGGAGTGGAGACCCGGGACTTCTAGTACTTCTGGTCCGGGATTCTTCCAGTACTTTGACTTGCCTCTTGCCCCCAGGGACACCCGAAAATCATTAGTGGTAACATTTGCTTCCCACGCGCTGCCGCCCGGTTTCTGCATTACTCATCAGAGGTTTTCCTTTTCCAGTTTCCTACTGTGTTGGAACCTTGGGGACTCATACTGAGATCAAGAGAGTGGCAGAGGAAAGGGTCACTTTGCCCTGTCACCATCAGCTGGGGCTTCCAGAAAAAGACACCCTGGATATCGAATGGCTGCTCACCGATAACGAAGGCAACCAGAAAGTGGTAGGTGTACACCCCTACCTGGGGGTCCCCCTCCTCTGCTTTTGCCTTCCCCCCTCAGTCCTCCAGCCTTTCTTATTGGGGTGGAAAGGACTAGAATTATTTTCTCATCTAGCTTATAGCTGAAAAACTCTAGATACAAAACTATACACAAGAAAGGGCATCTGGGCTGTGAGGGTAAGAGATTCTGTGTTCTTAGGGCAAGTAAAAACTGCTAGAAGGGCATCTATCATTTGCCCAAGGAGGAAACCTGTACTGTTAGTGTCCTTCCTAAGAAGGGGACTAAGATGCAGTGGCTTGATTCCCTAGCCTGATGGGCCAGAACCCCTAACCTGTACTAGGAAGGCCGCTCCTCTTCCTCTTCGGAAGCCATCAGCCATCATCACCCGCCGTGCTTACACTTTGCGAAAGTCACAGCTTTGGAGCTCTAAGATTGTGTGGTGTGACAAACAACAGAATGATGCAGAGGGACAGTCCAGGGCATGAATGCAAATGTTTGACACATGTATAGTTGGCCAGCAAAAGAACTGACACTGGTTCTCAAGTTGGAGAATAAAGGAGCTGGCCCTGGACCTTGGCACCCAGGTGGGGTAGGTCCGCCACGGTGGCCCGTTGGTTTTTATGTCCTTTGGCTGTAGGAACAGGACTGGCAGGGCTTCTCTGCTGACGATCGCCGGGCTGGTCTTCACTAGAAAACGAGAACTTGGTGCCCTACTGCTGTTACCCTCTCGCCTTGGCTGCGTTCAGCCCAGGGCCTCCCCCAGCCTAGCCTTTCTAGCATGACTGTTTTCATTCCCTGTTCCCACAGACTTACTTGGGAACATCCTTTTGTTGAAAGTTTCATGATTTTTTTAAACAGTCACACAAAATAACCTAGGAAGCTGACTTGCGGCTTTGCTTCTTGTTCAGAACTTTACTTCTTCCCCTACAAAACAGTGATTCGCCTTGCCTCTCCTCTGTCTATACTACTGATTTCCTAAGATGGTATATACTGGAAGAAGTTAAGGTTTTCACTTTAAAAAAATTCCAGGATCTCTATTGGAGTTAAACCTGCTTATGTAGCTGCCTACACCATCCTGTTATTTTGATACCGCTTGTCATTTTGTTCTCATATTACATCATCTTAAGACTCTGTTCTCTGCAGAGCAAGTTCACCTTAACCTGAGCATGTTTATTCCAACATCCTGTAAGTCGATTATGGACATGACACCGTCAGTGTTGAAGGAAGCAAATGAGAGCCATGTTCCTCTAATAACAATCCAGTGAGGTCTCTACTCGTCTGATTTTTCACACAAGTGTTTTCACTTAAACTAAAGAAAGAGTTGCTTGCTTATGTAGCCAAGTAAATGTAAGGGTTGGGAAGTCCATTGTTGATTCAGGAAGGGCACAGATATGGCTTAAATCAGTTATAGTTTCCTACTTGTCTTCCGTTAATGCTCTAAGGTAAGGATGGTCATTTATTCAGCCATTCAGATTACATGAGTTTATTTAGCACTGACTGCCACGCTAGGCATTGGGGTACACTATTCAAAAAGATATGAGTCTCTGCTTTCTTGGAGCTTACAGTGTACAGTCATTCAATAATTTAAAAAGAAATTGAAGTAGAGAACTATAAAAACTATCCTTGTGCCAGGAAGAAGTCTGTTGAGCTTAATCCTCATAACCAGGATCATTAGTCCCATTTTATAAATAAGGAACTAAGGCATGTATATATATACATACGAAGTGAGAAATTCCTTACCACCACCCATATTGCATTTTGAAATTAGGCACTCTGACATTAGTACCTGGGCTGTAACCAGTAGCTATACTACCTTCATATATAATTTGAAATTATAATAGGTGTTACATAGGAAAGAAGAAGAACGTGGAGAGAAAATTATACCAGACAGAACTAATTATGCAGAGACGCTGATATTGGGGAAAGCTTGGCACAACTGGAAGTTCTAAAAGATCAAAATCCAATTTTCCCACTATATTCCCACTATACACACACTCCATCGTGAAGGAGCTAGTTGAAGAGAAAATGCATCGATACAGTTTTAGAACTAAGTGATGAATATCACGATGAAGATGAACAGTGTTCTAGATGAATACAAAGGGAAGAGCCCATGGCCAAGAGTGGTTGGAGGAGGGGAGAGGCCAAGGACAGCTTCCTATAAGAAGGCACACTTGTTGAAAGAATGAATTGCCCTAAGGAAATCACAAGCGCATAGACACAAAGGCTGGAAAATCCTGAGAAATCCTAAGCAGCTCGTGTAGGTGGAGTGGAAAATGTGAGCTTGCAGAGACTGCAGGACCAGAAGGTGAAAGGTCTGGTGTAACATCCTAGGGAGCATTGGTATTTTCCTATAATGTCATGGAGTTCTTGAAGGATTTTGAGAGAGGCATGCTTGCATTTCAAATGATCACTCCGGCACTGTGCACCACACCAAGTTAAAGGGGCCTCGAGCACAAGCAAGAACAGTTGAACAGTTTCAGGCTGTACAACAAGGGCTTAAACTATAGTCATGGGCAGTTGAGATTTCAAGAAGGGGATGATAAATATTTGCTGGGTAAGGTTGCCAAAGCTTTTTAATTGCCAGGGTGTTGGGAATGAGTGAGTGTGACTCAGAAAGAAAATAGAGAAAGGGTTAGAAAGGATGTGGTGCTTAAAGTAGGCTAACCAACGACCTAGTTCCCACATTTAGCTTTGCATTTCAAACTGAGCAGAAATGTTTTCATCCCTTTTGTCTAGGATGCTCAGATATTCAGGGAACATTTGGGGGTGGATAGGCAGTCTCAGGAATATTTGAATTTCAGCCTTCATGGCATGGCCACTAGAACTCAGGAACTTTCCTGCTGGTCCTAAGGGTGGAGAAACAGTTCATTTTCAAAGTCAGCATGATGACCTTCCCCAAGGTCAGTCAGGAACACACAACAGAAAGAAAGCTTTGCCCTCTATTTTTCAGATGGAGAAATTAAGACAGAGGAGTTCTGATTCCCATGCCAAGCTTCTCTGGTCACCCTTTTCCCACCGTTTCTTTGATTTTGAGCAAGAGAAAAAAAATAGAGAGGGACTTGCACCCATCTCTGCTCGAGCCAGTTTCACAGTGTCTGCACAGGGCATCACACAGCAGAGCAACTGCCAGGAAGTTGAGCTGATGCATCTGTTCCAGACGAATCCTAACAAATTGTCTTGACTCCTCTCTTTAAAAAATGCATCTGGGACAGTTCCCCAGGAATGTCATAAGACAAAGAGCCCCAGAACAGCTGTAGTTCATATATTTAATGTTTTGTTTGTTTGCAAAAGGATGAAATCTTTGTTCCTTGTTCTCCCATCACACCCTCATCCACTCCTTATTCTCAGCTCTACATTTCCTAGAATTAAAAGCATAATAAAACAAAGAGACACGCAAGTGTCTGAGATTCAGTGTACAACTGAAAAAAACTTAGCTGAATTGCTAGGCTGTAACTGAGCCTTGATCTGCATAGGAAGTGTGTGTAAAATTCTCATATTAAGTAACGGCTATTTACTTATATTAAGGTTATTTTGGACTTATATAGTCTCTCCTTTCCAAAAGTGTTAAATATTTGCCTGGTTATTCCTTTTCCTTTATTTCAGTATCGGAACAGGATTCTGGGGAAAGGAGAGGAAAGCAGACTAGAGTCAGCCCTACTTGATGTGCCAAGGGCGATGGCGGAGGTGCACGCAAAGTGCTGACACTCGCAGAAGCGAGTTGTGATTCTAGTGGGGGAGCCAGGAAAGGTGAAGCACGCACAAGTGGCCCTTCACCTTAGACCTTGAGGCCTGTGCAGGTGTTGTTTAGGCAAAAATACAAGGAGAGGCATTACAGAAGGAGACGGCTGCATGGTCTAACACAAAACACAATGGAGGACATTGTTCAGAATCGAGGAACATCAAGTTTGGGGACTAGGCTCTCAAGAGATGTGGGAGCAAGGGGCAAAGACGAGGTGTAGTCCAGGCTGCACCAGCCTTGGGTGCCACGTTCAGAGGGCCAAGCTCTAGTCCACAGTGCGCACAGTGTGTCCCATCTAGGAGATGAGAATCAGGGGAGCTTGGCTATACAAATGTATGGAATGACTGATATTGGGGTGCTGGGCTGAACAGTTTTGGAAACCTTAGGGGCTTTCTTGAACCCAGAATCAACCTAAATAAAGGTGGTCGTGAGGACTTACTATCTCACTCCTGCAATAACCCTAGAAGTGGCTTATCCCACAGTTGAGGACCTTAAGATTTAGGAAGGTTAATTAGCTGACCAAGGTGCACACCTGTAAGGGGAGGCATCCTGTGTACATGTGGACCACCTGACTCCCCAGCAAGCCCTCTCCATCATGGTGCCCTGGTTCAGTGTTTTTCAAAATTAGGAGCCAGTAGGAGATCCTAAGCAAGCAGATGTTTTGTTTTAACATAGACTAGAAAATACCAGAGCATTCTGCACATGTTTCAGTCATATATGTGTATGCCATCTGTGTGCTGGGTCATGAAGAAAAGGTATTTCTTAATGTGAACTGGTCACAAAGTTGAAGGCTCCTACTATCACATGCTTCCAGCAGCCCGAAGCAGCCAGACTCAACTCTGGACCATACTTAAGGCTCTCCAAATCAAATGTACCTTTCAAGACAAAGGTATCTCCCAACATTAGTTCAAATATTAAAATGAACAAGAAAGAAATCCCCCAGACAAAAATAGGTCACAACCTCCCAAAGCCCGCAAAATCCAAGAGTTCCTAACAATTACCCAGCTCATTAGTGATTTCTAAGTTTAGAATCTCGTCATTCTTCCTAGGAAATGCAAGCTGACTTCCTCACAGGTGACTACACACTCATCCGGTGCATAAATATGAAAAAGTCAGAAAAAAAATAACATTAAATGAGCACCTACTGCGTCTTGTCCTATCTCCAAATTTCAGCTCCTGGCTTTCAGTCTTAGGAAATTAACTTTCAAGCATCTAGTTCTTCCCTGTTGCTAAATGTATCTCCTCCTGTCCCCACCAATTTGG